AGGAGACGTCAGATTACAGAGGGCAGGGGCCAAAGGAGACATAAGTTCCTGTTCTGCAGAACTTGGGATCAGCAGCAAGAAACCACGTAGCAGATCATTACAAAAATAGTCTGTCCACAGACTTCCTCCGAGGCCACAGCAACTGGCTTTTATAGCGTTTAAGGCAGGGGTTCTCAAACTGGGGGTCAGGACCCCTCAGAGGGTCACAAGGTTATTACATGGGGGGTCACGAGCTGTCAGCCTCCACCCCAAACCCCGCTTCACCTCCAGTATATAATATGTTTTTAATGCATAAGGGGGGTGGCTCTCAGAGGCTTGCTGTGTGAAAGGGGTCCCCAGAACAACAGTCTGAGAACCCCTGGATTAAGACCAGGGAGGCCCATTACGGTCGTTTAGTCTGACCTCCAGCATAACACGGGCCAGAGAAGCCCACCGTGTAGCGTATCTCCTGCCCCAAGAGGTATTCTAGTCTTTATACACATCGCTCCGATCTGATGTAAATGTGGATGTTCTTATTCACACAAACGTCTGATCCCTATCTGCATCCTTAGTGCATTCATTTATAAGACAGTGTCTCTGTTGACCACTCACTTCTGAGGCTCCAGAGAAAGACCAAGAAACATCTGACAGTTTTAAAAGCTACTGTTAACCTGCCATCAACCTGTCACGTTGCACAGCCCAAGGCAGGGGAAGGCTCGTAGTACAGGGGGAGTGCCACCCCAGGCAGGCTCCAGTTGGGTGGGAGGCAAGCGCACTCCCATGGGGGCTGAAGGAGGGTAGCAGAGTGCAGTGGACTGTGGGAGTGAGGAGCGTAGGGTTGCTATCTATCCAGGTTTGACCAGGATCATCCCTTTTTTGAAGTGGCTCTCCTGGGAAATCTGTCAGGATGCGCACTCCCAGCAGGCCAGTTTTATGGGCTCAGCATCATCGCACGTGTCCCTTTTTCTGTACCTCAGAGATGGCACCCAACAGTGGGGGGAAGCCCGTCCATCAAAGGATGGGTGTCTCATGAGGTACAGGGAAAGAGGGGGTATCCTGGGGTGTCTGTTCCTGTGGGGGACCCCTAAGGGAAGGGAAAATATCCCAGTTCCAGGGGGGGATCCCTGAGGGGAACGGGGATATTCATGGGGGTATCCATGAGGGGGAGGTGTCCCCTGAAGGGAAGGGGAAATATCCCAGGGGGGTGGGGTCAGTTTTGGGAGGATCCC